AAGCAAAGCCCAAACCACACCCACTGCCATGGAGTCCATTCTGACTCACAGTGCCCCTAGAGGACAGAGTGGAACTGCCCCACAGTGTTTCCTAGGCTGTCAGTCTTCACAGAAGCAAAGCCCAAATCACACCCACTGCCATGGAGTCGATTCTGACCCACAGCGCCCCTAGAGGACAGAGTGGAACTGCCCACAGGGTGTCCTAGGCTGTCATCTTTACAGGAGCAGGTTGCAAAGTCTTCCTCCTGCAGAGCTGCTGGGTGGGTTCAAACTCCTGACCTATGAATTAGCAGGAGAGAGCTTAGCTCTTCTGCTACCAGGGCTCCTTCTGAGGCCATTTAAGCATCTGGCAAAATAAATTCCTGAATCAAAATGAAATTTTAATTGCCACATGAATTAAATATTACTCAAAGGATCTAAATGTTTTGACTGTCGATTAGTTTATTAATTTTAATCATCTTTTTAAAATGTCAGGTCTGCCGAACATTGGATGGGAGGATGCACTTTGACCTTTCAGAGAAATAAACTATGGTTTATGGGACTGGCTGTTACACTACTTTATCACTGCTGCCATGGAAACCAAGAGCCGTTCTCCTCATTGTAACATCAGCCCCACATAAATTAGAAATTCCTCCTTAAACCGATTTCTTCTTAAGTGCAACCACTGGCAAGAAAATGTAATTCAAGCCATTGGTGGGGTTCTTGAATATAAATTGTTGCATTAAAAAATAGCCTGTAAACGTGCATGTCATTAAAGCAGGTATCAGCTTTAGTTTCAGGTGCATAAATTCCTGTGGTTTCTGCCTGAAAAGTCCTTGACAGCTGAAACAGCAGGGATTCATGAACCTGTAAGTTATTCTTAGAAAAGCCATTGGATGCACAGTCTATTCAGTGGGCTTGGATCTCAGTTCTGAATAAAGAGAGGACACTACTTGTTGAACCGTTACATTTCCAAATTTCTCCACATTCACCACGCTGCTGTTTTACAAAGCAGAAAGGAGAGAAGAGCAGGTTAAAATTTAGCAAAGTAAGCTTAAGACGTGGGACGAGGGACTCTGTTCTTCTCTGCAGGATGGCAGCAAGCCAACTAAATAGAAGTTGAGTCGATTCTGACATGTGGCGACCCCATGTGTACAGAATAGGACTGCTCCGTAGAATTTTCAAGGCTCTAACCTCTCAGAAGCCAGGCTCCAGGCTGGTCTAAGAGGAATACTTGCTGTTGGTGTTGTTGGGGGCTGTTCAGTCAATTTTGACTCATAGCAAGCCCATTTGACAGGGTAAAACTGCCCCGTAGGGATTTCCAGGCTGCCATCTTTATGGAAGCAAACTGCTGGTCTTTCTCCCGTGGAGCTGCTGGGTGGGTTTGAACCACCAGCCTCTGTGTTAGCAGCTGTTACAGACCGAATCGTGTCCCCAGATAATAGATGTGGTAAGTCCTAACCTCTGTGCCTGTGGTTATAATCCCATTTGGGAATGGGTTGTCTCTGTTATGTGAATGAGGCAGGATCAGTGCAGGGTATTATTTAAATGAATCTCTTTTGAGATATAAAAGAGATTAAACAAGCAAGTGAGTGAGCCGAGATGAGGGAGAGAGACGCCAAGCCACACAAAGGTCACCCAGGAGCAGAAGCTCAGAGACAAGGACCTTCCTCAGAGCCGACAGAGAAAGAGCCTTCCCCTAGAGCCGCCACTCTGAGCTTGGATTTATCCTCCTAAACTGTGAGAAAATAAATTTCTGTTTGTCAACATCACCCCCTTGTGGTATTTCTGTTAGAGCAGTACTGGAGAACTGAGATGTCAGCTTAACACTTGTTCAGTGCATCACCAGGTCTCCTTAAACACAAGACTGTTGTTGCTGGATGCTGTCAAGTCTATTGTGACTCATGGTGACCCCACGTGACAGAGTAGAACTGCCCCACAGGGTTTCCCAGGCTGTCAGTCTTCACAGAAGCAAAGCCCAAACCACACCCACTGCCGTGGAGTCAATTCTGATTCACAGCACCCCCAGAGGATGGAGTAGAAGTGTCCCAGAGGGTTTCCTAGGCTGTCAGTCTTTACAGAAGCAGATCACCATGCCTGTCTTCCAGGGTGCATCTGTAAAGGTTTATCATCTTCCTCCTCTTCAGTAGCTAGTGGGTTTGAACTACCTACCTTTCAGTTAGCAGCCAAACACTTAACCACTGGGCCACCAGGGCTCCAGTCGGGGATCCTCATGGTCTAACAGAACCCAGACTGCAGCCAGATGCCTCATAAGCACACATCCTCCCAGGTGTTGTGCAGTGACCCATCATCACAGTTAGGAGCCCTGGTGCTACAAATGCTTAAGCACTTTGCTGCTGAATGAAGAGTTGGTGATTTTAAACCACACAACTGCTCTGGGGAGGAAGGGCCTGGCCATCTGCTCCCATAAAGCTTACAGCCTAGAAAATGCTGTGTGGTTCCGCTGTCACGTGGTGTCACCGTGAGTGTCACTTCAGGACACCCAACCAAAAAAGATTTCAGAACCAAAAAGATTTCTTTCAAAAGGAGCTCTTGGTGGTGCAGTGGTTAAGCACTAACTGAAAAGTCTGAACCCACCCAGTGGTTCAGAAGGAAAAAGACCTGGTAATCTGCTCCCATATAGACTGACAGCCTTAGAAACTGTGGAGCAGTTCCACTCTGTCCTCTAGGGGCGCTGTGGGTCAGAATCGACTCCATGGCAGTGGGTTTGGTTTGGGCTTTGCTTCTGTGAAGATTGACAGCCTTGGAGACCCTGTGGTGCAGTTCCACT